AGAGGCAAGATCATCGACAGCTAAGACCGGCCAGATCGTGCATCATCACTATCATAGGATGACGATGACCAAACGCATAATGGAAGTTTGGATTCTATTAATGTATTGAGTACTGAAGGGACAAAGATGAGCCAATACTTTATGATATTGACAGAAAAAACTTGGGAGGAGTTCATGTTGTTCATTTAATTCCAGGGCATTTTGTGAGAAAGAGATGCTCAATTTGTCAATAAAAGTCAGTAGCAATCAAATGAAATTAATCCTTCTATGTTCCCTGTGTTAATCGGACTAGTCAGAAGAAAAGTTGTATGGTTTGAATGGCCGCAATCAGTAATTCACTATTTAACTTTTTGAGCTCAGATACGGATGAGCCAAAGAAAACAGAATAGTTCAACTGCTCTGAGAGGATGGAAAAAACGAAAACATGAAAAAGTTGATAGTTCATACCAGGTAACCACTGAAATTGCAACAAAAACGGCACACCCCTCCACCTATGCTAATGATCCTCGGTATGCATCTGCAAAATGGAAAAACCCAATACACATACATTCATCATTAGATAAGAAGAAGAAGAAGAGAGATTCAGATTCAAACTAGATGGAACATTCAAATTATAAAACCAAAAGAAGAAGAGGAAAGATCGACTGCAAGCTTCAGATTCGAACTTACCTCTGCTTGTCGCCTCTAGTTGCTAGAGTTCGGTGAATTGATTTACACTGTGTTTGCATTGAACTTGTCACCTCTCTGTATATGTGATTCACTGTTGTTTCTATAGATGCAGGAAACTCTCAATCGAAGGAGGCTCTCGATTTTTTTCCCTCATTTTTACTTTCCTTTTCGAGGGAAGTGGTTTCCGACCAAAATGGAAGGATCCCATTTCCTCATTTTGGTAATTTTAAATCCTCACATTTTCCTTTCTTTTCCTCAATTGTGATCAATCCAAACAAGGGAAGATTTGGAATCTTTTGGAATGTTCCAAATTTTCCCTTCCTTTCCTTCAAATCAAACATAGCCTTAACAAAAAGATTAGGCGGCATTTATTTTAACATTTGGCATTGAGGGTGGGCTTTGGCAGTGGCACAACAGTTGGGTTGCTCCATTGCAACCTGTGTGACCAGGGTTCAAGCTCAAATGTTGGAAATAGCCTCCCTGTATGTGCAGGAGTAAAGCTGTGTATATCTATCCCTCTCCAGACTTCGCATTGATGGGAGCCTCGTACACTAGGCTGCCCTGTTTAAAAATTTCTCATTCTCAATTGTGAGTAAATTGTTTTTCTTTGGTAGGGGGTCTAGAAAGCCATAATAGCTGTCAATGGGTCCAGTCTACTTGACAAAACCAAACCAACCAAACCGATTATGTCAGTTCTGGTTCTGTGTTGTGGTTTGTGCCCCAATTATTAATTGGGTTATGACTAGTTCTTGCTGTTTCGAACTTATCAAGGCTCGGAATGATAATATATACGGATATAGTCTTCTGGTTTTCTTGTATTTTTTGTTATATATTTATATTTTATGTCTAAAAGGGTAAATTTTATTGTTTGTTATATACTTATATTTTATATCCAAAAGGGTAAATTTTATTGTTTGTTATATACTTATATTTTATGTCTAAGAGGGTAAATTTTATAGGCAGTATATAAGATAGTTAAAACTTAAGAACACTTGTTTTTATGATATTATCCAAAATGAAGTACCAAGTTGGTTTGGGCTCTGGGTCTATTTTATAGAACCAACTAATAATCAAGTTGGTCTAACCTATCCTGAAACAGACCCAACCTATTGACAGCTCTAAAAGCCATTATGAGACTTGTCGAACTAATAAGGTGGCCTATTAATTGTACTAGCATGCAATGATTAGATCATGGATTTTTTTTTTTTTTTGCCTCGTCAGGCTTCGAATAAAAAAGATAATGGATCCGGTTTGTATGGGGTTTGGACCGGATTTGGTCCAGTCCATTGGTAAATGGACTAATGCTGGACTGGACCGGATTGGACCAATGTTGGGGATCAATTTATTGATGATCAAAATATGGGCTTCTAGTGACTTAGAGTATACATTCAAATAAGGCCAAATCCTATTGGAATCAATACTTTATCAAGTACACACTCAAACATGGAGTGGTATGTATTCAGAAAGGGAAGTGACAAGGCTGCAAAACTAGTGTTTAAATAATAGAAAAATCCTTTACAATGAAATATCCATATCATCATAGAAAGAAGCTTCATGAAACAAAACAATTTCTTTGTAAAACTGACAATTATAGTAACAAAAACTCTGATGACCTGAAAACAATAGTTTTCATGATTATAGTGAACGAAACCTATAATTATATAGAACCTACAAGACAAGCTAATGCTAAAACCCTTGTATGATTATAACTACACAAATTACAAAAAAGAATAATTAACAGTAATCAAAGCATCCTAGCCCTCTTGTGGCCTTCAGTCATCACTGTCTGCAAACCTTGAGGTGAAAATTCCAAAGGTGCAGTTGAAATGATTGGCATGGAAGCTGTTGGCAATGGCTGGGGATTAATAAAGCAAGATGAACAACAATCCATAGACTCCAATTGACTTAAGTTGCTGCTGAAGCTATTGCTATGGATTCCCATACTTCCAAAGCCAGGAACAGGATGATCATTATAAAATGGAACCAGCATTGAGAAGCTATTGCCACCATCAAAATTGTTCAACATCAACATGTCCATATTGTTGTTGCTTCCATTGGTTTCCATTTCCTCTGGTCCAAATCCTGAATGATTATAATGGCAAAATTGGCTCACCATTGGAAAGTTACATCCACCATTAACTCCATTCATCTTCACCTGACCTCCATTGAAGAAGAATTCACCTAGATTGTTATTTGGGTTTATTGCTTGGTCGTATTCCATCGGCATTGGCATCACGGGGTGATAAGAAAACTGATCATGATCAAGAGGTTGAACTTGAGACACTGGACCCAGTAGATCAATGTCATGGTTTGGGTACAGTTCAGGATTGAAGCATTCTATCTGATCAAGAGATTGAACTTGAGATACTGGACCCAGTAGACCAATATCATAGTTTGGATACAGTTCAGTGTTGAAGCATTCTATCTGCCCCCTTTCTTCCAAGCCTTTCCCTTGCTTTTCCTTCAGAATCTCCTGCCTTTTTTTCACCATTTCCAGCTTCAACTCCAAAATCTTTCCCATCTCCTTCAACTGCTCCGCTGAAAACCCATCAATCCCACTCTCCTCCATTGACGGGAATTTCAAAGTCCTTCCCTTTGAGCGCCATTTAGCAAGATCATCTTCCAGGTTCTTCTTCTGCTTTTCCAAAAAGTCCAATAAGCCCCACTCCCGCTTCCTCGAGTGAGTGTTAGATTCGAGATTTCTGTACTGGTTTATAAGCTCCAATACTTTCTCACGATTCTCTGGCCATATGATAGGTTCCATGGCACTGTCTTCGTTACTCTGTTGAAGGCCATCGAAGCAAATTATGAAACCCTCGATATCGCAGAGTGTGGTGAGCTCATGCATTTTCTTCTTTAGCCCCTGCATTCTCTTAATAAACGTTTTCCGGGCCTTTCGATACTCTATAGACTCTGAAGCAAGTCTTGACTGCGCCATCTTCAGATGAAATCTATTAATGACAAATAAAAACCTGGTCTTGTTAATCAAATAAGTCCGACGTAGAATGAGAAAAGAACTCAATATAATGGCGAAAACAAGAAAAAGAATTAACAGCAAAACATCATCACCTTTGGCTTAATTGTTAAAGAAGAACTTCTGTTGTTCAACCGCAGTTTCTGATCGTTTCAACAAAACTAGCAGGTACCCTTTACTCTTATACTTTCTACATTTAACTTCCCCTGAAAACTGAAGTTGCAGGCCGTTCCCCAATTCGTCTATCTTTACTCATACTCCCACGAAAGGAAAGAAATAAACGTAGACAGAAGGAGTACCTTAGCTGATGTTGTAATCTTTCGCAAATCTAAGATAAACATCGATTACCAAAATGGAAACTATTAACTTTCTATTTCTCTTTCTTAACGACAAAGAAAAAATATTACCGTTGCCGGAGGGAGGGAAATCAAGGATACGGCGAAGATACTCTCGATCGGAAATATCTTCGCTGTATCTTACCGATGGCAATTTCCTGCCCGTCGGCAACGGTAATATTTTTTCTTCTTAAGAACCCTGTTCGGCCGGGCTTTGACAGAACATATTGAGAGGCCGAAGTTCGACTTGAAATTCTCGCTTCAGACCATTCCCCTCTTCCTCCAAATGGGAGAAGTACCACTATTGGTTCCACCATTTCAGTCTGAAGCAATGTGACGCGGTGGTGCCTCGATGATAGCCTCAAATTCATGAGATTATACAAGATAGGGGGTGCATATGGATCTCCCCTGTTCATATTTTCGGATCGCCCTCCTATCCGATTAAGAAGATCCGGTATATATTATATATTTGTAAATATAAATACATATAACATATATGTTATTTATTTATTTATAAATATATTTTTATAAATTTGTTATATTATTTGTTTTTTTATAAAAATATGTATATATGATGAAAATAATTAAAAAATACTTATATTTTTTATTTTTACTTTATTTGAATTAGTATATTTTATTTTTTAATAATTTATTAATTTTTAAAGAAAACAAGTTGGATTGGATCAGACCAACTTATTAATAGGATTCAAATTCAAATTGAATCCTATTATATCCGATTGGATCGGATTGGATCAGATCCGACATAAACAATRTCGGATCAAATTTAAATATATACCCTAATTCAATCYAATCCAATCCGTTTACATCCCTAAAAAGAGACATGGATCAGTAGTTTTGTCGGGTCTAAAGCCGTACAATTCATTAAGAAAATAAAATTTTGGAGTATATTTCTTCTGAAGGTACCTTTAACTCTTTCTTGGCTCGAGAGGAAATATATTGGGCTCAAAAATTGAGAGTAGAATGGGCCAAATTAGGTGATATAATCAATAGTTTTTTTCCATAATATACTACTGCAACAATTGAATAACAAAATTAAAGAAGGAAGATGGAGGATGGATGACACCTCAGCGACCTTGGTCATCCCTGTTATCTCGCACACCTCGGGTCGTGCAGCTAGACCAAGGCTTGAACAGCTCAATTATATGCATCGATCAGCCAAGGTGTCACGTAACCTCCTTCTAGAAGTAAGACAATTGTCTTCAATCTTCTCAAGATCACGGCACCACATCAACGGAGTTTATCTTCTCCGCACCCGACTCGGACGGACCTAGATAAGCCTTATCGGCTTATGCAATATCCATCTTCGAGTGCAAAACCAACTTTAGACCAGACAAGCCAAGGATCTCGGATACGCATTGTAAGGCCCACGGCAATTTGCCTACATAAAGGCCTTGTCTCTAGCCTTACAAGGTACACACAACTCAGCTCTCTGAATTCTCTTGCAATCTAGCTTTTAATTCTCTCAAAACTTTCAAATTGCTAACTTAAGCATCAGAGTGCTCACACCGGGTAAAGCACCTAGACACTGACATATTTGTCTTGTATCTCGACTAGGCAACCTCACTTGCCTAACGTACGAACTGTCCTCCAATAGGAAGCACCAAATCTCACTCCAAATATGTGATCACAATAATATTTTTGAGTACCCGAGTGATAATTTTGAGAGCATATTTAAAGTCGAATTCACAGAATGCATAAAGGAATTTATTGAGGTTATCAGCCCCTGCATTTCAAATAATCAAAACCTTTCTATCATTAAGGAGATTATTGATGGGATTCACCATACTCTATTTTCTACGAAGGATCTCAAAGCGCCTGGGCCTGATGGGTTAAATGTGTTGTTTTCAAAAAATACTGGCCCACAGTTGGGAACTCTTTGTGTTCTTTGTGTAGTGTGGTTAAAGCCTTTATTCCACTATAGGAAGTTGAACAAAATTCTAAATAAAACATTTACCACTCATAATCCAAAAGTTAGAATCCATAGATTGCCAATAGTTTTAAGCCTATCAGTCTATGTAATGTCATTTACAAAACAATTTTGAAAGTGTAATGGCCAGGTATTAGATTGTAAAGCATACAAAGTTGGTTCCTCTTCCATTAATTTAGCTGAAGCGTGGGCCGCTTGAGAGGCTCACAATATTGCTCTCAACTTCAACAACGAGAACATTATCATACAAGGAGATTCAAAACTGTTCATCGATTGTCTGAAGAATAACGCGAAGCCCCTTTGGAGATTGAAATCGATTATTTACTATTGCACGTTCTTGATCGAAAGAATGGAGGGTCAAGTGGAGTATCGTCACATCTATCGAGAAGGCAACTTGGCTATGGATTGGCTTGTTAGCTCCGTTCACTCAAATGTTGTCTTCTGCTTGCATTCTTAGTGCTTTAAGTGCTATTTCTGTTTTTGATTTTTAGGGACTTGCCACCCCCTATTATGTGTAGCCCTCGTGTTATTCTCTTGCTCTATAAAAAAAATGGCCTTTTACAAAAAGAATTAATAAAGTTTTATGAATTTGCAAATTCAAATACCTTTTTGAAATATACTATGAAAATGGTAAATGATACTTTTTTTCGACCAAATTGCCCACTCTCATCAGATTGAAAAAGGAGGCAGAAGTTATTATTCATCATCTTCCTCCTCTTGAACACTGAATCAAAGCATCTATGGTTATTGTTTTGAGTTTTGACCGTGTAAAATACATGCATAATAAAATAACATATTCTATAAAAAGTCATCAATTAATATAAGTTAAGAAGTGGAATAATGGTAATTAAGTAATATATGAAAATAAGAGCTTATAGGTTTGAATCTTGTTAAGTGCATTTTAAAATTTCTATTAATTAAGGACCTGGGCAGTTTCATGAAACTGAGATTGATTCACCAGTTTCTGATAAAACCGACTGATTAGCTGGTTTTCACCGGTTTTTAACAAAAGCAGTTATTGGGAATTTGGGATATGACCAAACCGGTCAAGGTCTCAGGTCACGGTTCAAGGGCTTACCAGTCAGTTTGATCCAGTTTTTTAAACACTAGTTAAAAGTCAGCGTTTGCTCATTTGGGTCTAACAATAACAAAAATTTCCAATCACAGATTCTCAAAATCGAGACTTAAAACAGAGTCTACTTACAACAACAACCACCTCTCTATTATCCAATACAAGAAGTTAAAGCTCTCCCTTTTCTCCAATTTTGAAATTTGCAATTGAGTTCTCTCGTCACGACGTAGGAATCAATCGTATTACTTTTGCATTATGCCATAGCCGCTCATTGTGAGTGTCAGCTTTGGTTTCTTTGGCAATCCGATGACTTCTACTTCAATCAATTCCATAAGGTAATTGTTGAAGCCGCAACGTCATCAAAGACATGATCAGACAACGCTACCACGACTATCATAATTGTGCTTTAGCAGATAGCTTAGGCCTCATTGTCCTCTTTATAGTGTAGATAGTTTCTCTACCGTTAAATTGGTAATGTCGAAGTTGACATTAAAGAAATAGGAGTTGAGTTTTACACCAATATTATACACAAGTGGCTTCATTGTCCTATTTCCTGATTTACATCATCCCATAGTTTTTCGTGAATGCGGAAACGGCTTGGGCATAGAAAGTGCTTGGACTATAACTCATAGATTGTTGTTCCTTCCGCTCTTGGTTTTATCAATAACGTTGAAGGTGGTATGGATGGAATTAGGAAAAGGAATGATAAAAGATATTAAGATTAGCGTTGGCAATTGGACGGGTTGGATTGGGTTGGGTTTGGGTTCAGTCTCAATTTAATCCATCTAATATGTTAATCCATTAATAATTCAGTTATATAAAACTAAATAGGTTGGGTTTCAATCCAATCCTACTTTAGCCCAATCTAATTCGTCCAAACTCATTAATCTTATATTTATGTACTTAAAAAAAAAAAAAAAAAAACTAATTCCTTCTTGACAAATAAGTTGGTCATAGCTTAGTGGTAATAGTAGTTGCTATTCACATAAGTGGTGAAAGTTCAATTCACATTACAAGTAAGTTGTTTTTACACAAACAGTAAAGCCATTTGACTATGTTCGGGTTTTGGGTTTGACTGAACCACTTAGGTTCAAACCAATCAGACCAATTTGAACTATCTAATTGGATTATCTTCGAGCTAATCACATCAAGAGTGGTTGAACCATTTAGATCCGGATCAATCCAATCAGATCTGATCGGATCGGTTCAATCAATGGCAAATTGACTTGGACCGGCCCATATCAGGTTTGTGCATGGGTTTAGGACCAAACCGATTGGCCCGAAGCGGGTCAAGAGAAGTAAATTGAGTCGGTTTGAATTCGGGTCAAGTTGTACAGGTGCGAGCCAGATCAGGCTGAGGTCCGGACCGAACCACCTAGCCCGTCACCATTTCATATTCGGGTCGATCAGGGTTGGCCTGTACTAGGTCGGGTCGTGTTCGGTCTGGGTTGATCGACCCAAATGAACCGAACCAAGGTGATCGGGTCTGTTCATATTTAGACCAAGTTGAGCTGGTCCAGACTCGGGATCAAGTTGATTTGGATTTATGTCAATTTGGGTGAAGTGTGTTGATTTGAGACAAAACTGATTTTAGTTAATAATTAATAGAAAATTAATGCATTAATTATAAATTATTTCATTCAAGTGAAGAAAATTAAAAAAAGGCTAAAGAATTAATACTTATATCTTTAGTGGTTAACTGAATGGTTACCCACAAGGCCACAACCTAACCCAACCCATTTAAATTGACCTAATGGGTGATTAACCCATTTCCAACCCGCCAAATAAATGGGAAGGTTGGGTGGGTTCAACAGGTTGGGTGAAAAATTGTCACCCCTACTTACGATGGGGAGATCAGGGGTATCAGGGGTGTAGTTAGGCCTATTTTTGAAATGAATTGTGATGAAGGGTAATTTGGCCCGACCTATTAGCACACAGACATGTGGATCGACCTGATGAATGGACAATGACTCAGCATTTCCTGCCACCAGCAGGCCAAGTCAGCTCGAGTACCTCAGGCACCTCGGCCAAGATCAAGGTCCAAGCAATTCTTGACGGCCCAACCTGTCAAGGTGACACGTAGCTGACTTCTAAAATCTAGCCAGTTGTCTCCAACTTCTTTAGGATTACATCGCACGTCTGCAAGCTTTATCTTTATCTCGCTCGGATCGGACAAACTCGATAAGCCTTATCAGCTCACACGAAGTCCATCTCTAGGTGTAGAACAGACTCCTCGTAACACGGGCCAAGGATCTCGAAGGTGCTCTATAAGACCTAAGGCAGCTCACCAATATAAGAGCTTCAACCC